CTCCTTATTGAAAGCGGACTACACAACAGGCGCCAATGGACAGGTGTGGAAAGACCATTTGGACCTGGCGAAACCTGTTGGATAGGATATTGGGGGTTGAGCTGGGAGATGGGGCAGGGGTGGCATGTTAGTTTTGATCAGTATGTGTTTTTTCGTTTCACTTTCAGTTTGATGGGATGAGGCTGATGCGTTGTGTGGGCACTTAGCTACTACGACAATCTGAGCGCCAAGCAGTGTCATGGGAAACCGCTTCCTTGTAATGTGACCGCCATGTCCCAATGTGTATCTAAAGAACTCGTACGTCTTCTTCCCTCTTCCCCGTTCACTCTCATGATCAGCTTGCTAAATCAAATCAACTAGGCAAACACAATACCGCTTCGGAAAGCGGGAATACTCTCGGCTTCGTACGCCGCCCTGCGGTACGGTGCGTGGGTCTTGGAGTTGAAGGGACACCTCCAAGCCAAAGTCAATGGTTCATCTCAAATGAAATACGTGCATAATGTGTGTTTCGCCTCTAAGCTCGCATGCGTAGTACTGTATGTGAATATGGGATGGGCGCAAAGATGAGTGGGGATTAGGGTAGCGAGGTGGATAGAATCTGTCATTTAGTAGATAGAATATATTTGAATGAGCGTCGTGACTATGACGTTGGGGCGGTTGCCATTCTCCTAAAAATCGGGCTGAGATGATGATGATGTCACCTAGTATTAGATGCGTGGCGTCACATTGAACTTCTTTTGGAAGTTACTGTGACTCCGTGACTTAGTAGGCTCAGGTGGCTCACTCTTTATCGTCTTTTACTACCACCATGCAGTGGCACCGACTCCGACAAACAAAGTTCAGATGATGATACGGGAGGTAGTAAGTGCTATTCTCCCCAGCTACGCGGTCGCTCACTCCACCGCACCGCAGGACCGTCTCATCCAGCTGAAGGAGATGGCGCGAAACGACACAGGCACTGCGACCAACTCGGACGATTCGCCATTCAGCTCTTCTCTGATGATGAAGGCAAATGCGCAAGTATCGCAGCAATTAGAGGAAAGAAGGGTAGTTGAGGTTGAGGTCAGTTTTATCCTTCTTCAAAACCCGGAAGCGTTTCACAGCCATCCATTGGACAGAAGCAATGTTGGAACCTATGGCGATGTTGGTCTCGGAGGCGATGGTGGCCCCGGAGGCGACATTAGCCTTAAAACCCCTGGTCCTAGAAGCACTAGTGGCTACCACTAGTTATCATATAAAACAGGTAACTGCCTATAGGTCCCTGTGTATCCATCCACACTCTTTATGATAGGGAATCATTACTGTTACCATGTTTTTTCATTATCATAAAGGCTGTGCTTTTTCATTAAGTGTAGGCAAGGTTTTGGGCCTCCCTCATAAGGTAGCCTGTGGTTATCATTACCAATTTTATATCTTTTCAAAGCCATATCATTGCGATTTTCATTAGTTGTCTGGCGAGTATCATTGGATATTTCATTAGCTACATGGGTGATATCATTTTGCGATTTTCAATGGTTACTTTGGCAATATCATTGGAAATTTCATATGCTACTTGGGCAATATCATTGTGATTTTCATAAATTATGTGGCCAGTATCATTGGAAATTTCATTAGCTGGTTGTGCAATATCATTGGCAATTTCATTAGCTACTTGGGCGACATCATTGTGATTTTCATTAGCTACTTGGGCAATATCATTGTGATTTTCATAAATTATGTGGCCAGTATCATGAGGTCTTATCAGTGCCCCCCTAATTCCTGCAGGATTCCGGTCATTCCTGCGGATTCCGGTGGATTCCGGAGGAGTGAAATTTAGCAGAGAGGCCTGCTATTTTCTTCATTCCGGTGCTTTACCATTCCGGCGGAATTTCGGCATTCCGGAATTGTGACCGGAATGGTCCCCGGATTGGCAAAAACGGAATGCAACCGGAATCCGGTTTGTTTGGCACATGCCCATTGCCAAACAATTGTTTGTTTGGCAACGGCTTTCACGCTCATCCAAACACAACCCTCTCTCCTCCCACCACCACCGTCGTCGCTCCACGTAACCGCCCCCCTCACGTTGTGAGTGCCCGCCATGGGCTAAGCGACGTGAGGGGGCTCACATCGACCACCACGCCGCTCACCCGACATCCAACAACGCTGCCAACACCACAACGCTGTGCCACGTCACCACGGCACA